CGGGCTGCCCGCGCCGCGCCGCGCCGGAGCGGGGCTTCCCGCGCGGGCTGCTGTGCGCGGCCTTCGGCCCAGCGCCCACTTAGCACCCCGGGCTGCCCCCGGCACCCCGAGTCTGCCCCAGCACCCCAGGCCTGGCCCCAGCACCCACACTGCAGCTTGTCCCCAACACCTTGGGCCTGTCCCTAGCACCCCAGGCTGCTCCCAGCATCCCGATCCTGTCCCCAGCACCCCCATCTCGTCCCCAGTACTCATTCCACAGCTTGTCCCCAGCACCCCAGGCCTATCCCCAGCACTCCCACTGTGCCTGTCCCCAGCACCCTGCGGTGGCCCAGCCACACCATCACAGGCGCACAGGTGTGCGGTGGATGCTGCAGAAGCCTCCGGTGAATGGGGCTGCCTTGGTCCTTCCCCAAGGCATGGGGGTCATGCCTAATGGCCCCCTCCTCCCGGAGCTTCCCGGGGTGCCCCACTGCCCTGATATGCATCGCTTCACCTGCGCATCCGCCACCCCTGTGCCCCCCGCAGCACCCCCACGCAAGAACCAGCACGCACAGCCAGCCGTCAGCAGGGAGCAGTTTACCAAGCTCGTGAGATGAAAAAGTACAACATTTGGGAGAATAAACTGTGGCTCCCCCCACCCTGTGCCCACCATGTGGGGCTGAGATTGAGACCGGGACCAGGGCTTTGGGTCATCGCTGACCTGGGGCCTCTGTACAGGACCCACCAGCAGCAGCAGTTCTCTGCATCCATCCTGGCCCGTGGCAGCCAGGGGACACAGTATTGGCGGCTGTGGCACCTGAGGGACCACAAGCTCTTTTTGCTGCAGTGAAACAGCCCGCAGAAAAAGGTTTCTTCATTCATTTAGGTGGGGAGATGAGGAAAAATGTGGTCAGAGATCAGTTCTTGCCCTGGAGCTCACCAGCTCTGCAGGGAGGAGCTGGTTCCTCGGGACCAAGGAAACAGAGGATGCAGGGCTCCTGTTATGTGGCTTAAACCCCTGGCTATGTAGCCACGATTTCTTCCCGGGACAGCCTAGGGCTTTGAGACTTTTCCTGATTAGATATGACGTGACTGGTTTCGCTAGCAACGATGCCAACAGGTTTTTGCGCTGATGTTCCTCTCCCCAGCCTGCTTTGCAGAGTCCCGTCCACTGGCCGGTTATGCTCTAGTGCCCATACTCCTCCACCACTATCGGTTTCCTGAGCAGTCATGTGCAAAAAGTACTTGTTCCCAGAGCTTTCTTCTCCCCTGGGTGTATGTCTCTGGCTGCAGCAGCTCCCCAGGCTGTGCGAGGACTGGCAAGGGCATGCAGCACACCCCACTGCTACCTCGTTGCCCCACATGCCAGCACAGAGCCTCATGTAGCTGGGCCCAGGAGGAGGAGGAAGAGGAGGAGGGTCGGGGGGAGGGCATCAGAGTATCCAAAACAGATGAAGCACAGAAATTTGTATGAACTTTTTTTTTCCTGAGTTTCTCAGCCTGGATCTTAATTACAGGCTTAATTATGCAACCCCATGAGAGGGAGGGGAGCAGTGTGCAAGTAATGTGAGAAGAAAAAAAAAACTACAGGGAGAACTGAGCCTCTTTTAGGGTAAAATCCAGCACAATCTTGGGGAAGGGGATGTTTCCCAAGAGGTGATTGATGCCTATGGGGCCCAGACCAGCAGGAGAACAGCAGGTATGTGGGCACAATCCATGTGCAGAGCTTCTGAGAAGGGTAGAGACCCTCTTGTGGGCATCAAACCAGCTCTGGCCCCTCCAAGGGAATGCTGTCGTGGTGTTGCAGTGCCTCTGCACCAGCCAAGCAACAGCACGAGTCCTCACGCAGAAGGGGACTTGGGATGCTGTGGTCCTGTCCTTTACCTCCCGCTCTGCTGCCAGGCCCTCCTTGTGCTATAGGATCCCATGTGACAGACACCCTTCTCCCTACTGCTCCTGGAGAGGGGACACTGGGCCTGGCTGCAACACTTCCCCAGCCACAGGAGGCTTGGAGCACTGAAGCTTACAGAAATATATAAAGAAATAATGTCTAGTTTTTCTGAACACCTTGTTTCTCCAGTAGTCACTGTCTGGCCATTTCTCTCTTGCTATGAGCTTGCAGCCATGCTTGTTCCTCAAAGAAGGTGGATGGCATTTCTAGACCACGCCAGTTCTCTCCTTCACAATGCCTCGTGCCCTTCAGACATGTCTTCCTCCTGTGAGATGTCACCTTGGAGCAAAAAGCTGCTCTGGAGGGAGGAAAGCTCTCCACAGCCTTAGGTCTCCGGCAGGGCCTGAGGTGCCAACATGGAACTGGCTGGCTCTGCCACACATATCCCTCACTGGGGGACGATTCATGGCCTGCGCTGTAGGCCTGCACCCACATTGCTGAGAGCTGGGGCTCCCATCATGGGTGTTGGTGCTCAGTTTTAGGCCAAGTTCTGTGATTATCTGACTATCTCCTTTTCTCCTTCTGCAGCCTGGGCCCTGCGTCTGAATGCAGCTGGAGCCGGCGCAGCCATATGCCGATCTAAGGGCCTGGGGAGGCAAGAAGGGTGTCTGGGCTAAGAGGATGGGAGAGTCTTGCAAAAGAGACCGTCCCGAGGCGGGCCTCAAACATAAAAAGCCTCATTGTGGAGGTGAAGCCATAGGGCAGAGCAGCCAGGCACTGCCCTGCCAGGTGCCATGGTGCAGATGCTCCTCCCCACAGAAAGTCTGTGAGGTGGGAGCCATGGCACTGTGATCGTACCAGCTGGGTGTGGGCGTCTGCCTGGAATAAGCAGCTGAAATTAACTCAGGATGGAGGGTGAGCAGGAGGAATCTCAGCCCGTTCCCTTGTTCTTGCACCTGGGCAATGGCTGGTGTCCCAGAGGGAGATGTTCAGACCGTCCCTTTGGCATGCCTTGGTGCAGGAGACTGCTCAGAAACTCCGCTGCCAGCTGCACAGCATCCCTCTGCCATCGCCAAAGCGCATGCCACCTCCTTGTAACACCCACGTGCTCACAGACACATACACACACGCACGCTCGCACACATGCACAAACACACAGTGTAAGGTCTGCTGCATGCATCAACAATGTGTCCTGGCTACTCCTAGTATGGGGCACCTTACCAGACCCAGTCCGGCCTTGCCGTGTCTCCAAGGGGCCACAGACTGCAGCTCCAGCTGCTGCAGAAATGCTGAGCTCCGGCAGCCTGGCTGATCAGCAGGGCCCCGAAGCCCCACAGCGGGGCCTGTGTGGCAACAGCTGGCTGTGTGGAAGGGACAGTCTGCTGTTCCCACCATGCCACCAGCTCCTGCAGTGGCTGGCAGCGTTCAGCAGCATCCTAGCAGGACACGGAGAGTGGCAGAGAGCAGTGCTTTGATCACGTTGCTGGCATGATGCCTGTCCTCTCCTGCTAGGATCCTGGAGGCCATCAGCCTGGGTGCTCTGATCTGCCTGTCTCGCTGTGGCAGTGCACAGGTGGTGCCAGGGGGCCTGCCTGGCAGGGAAGGGCCACATTTGCCAGGGCACCATGGAGGCTTGCTCTTGCAAGAGTCTGGCCCTGCGCATGTCTCCTGGCACTAGAGAGACCCTGACACTGTCAGTGTCCCCTGCTGTTGGGAAGGCCACCGCTCCATGTGCACTCAGGGAAGTGCAGTCTGGCTGGCTTGGGGACCTGCGTGCTGGTGGGTTGATGGCACTGCCAACAGCACCTTCCAGACACCAGCGGGACAAAGCCATCACTTCATGAGTAGAACAGGGCATCCGCATGGGTACATGTCCTGCTCAGCCTGGTGCAGCTCCCCACCACCACTGCTGGCGGGTACAGACAAGGTGGTGGGTAACACTTATCCTGTGTTGGTGGGGAGGGACCCCAGGAATAAACCAGGAGGTGGATATGATCACATCAGATCTAAGTAGATGGACCTGGCTGGGTTTGGCCAACAGCTAGGTAGGAACTGAGGACCTCCAGCAACTGAAGCAGCAGAGGTTTGCTGGAGATGCAGGTCCACTCTGCTTTTCCGGGGTACTTCAGTCCCATTCAACAGGCAGAGCAGCCAGGGAAGGAAACTCCCCACTTCCTCAGTGCAGCACTAGTCAGTTGCTCCCCTTCCTTATCGCATCAGCAGGGCCAAAACTCACCTCATGCTTTAATTTAACTGAAATCAACTGCCTCCCATGGGACCAGCTCATTCTGGCAGGGCCTCATCCCACCAGGAACACAATGTGCCTCCACACAGACTGCCTCTGCACTCAGTTCAGGTGGGCTCTGTGCACACAGCATTTGAAGATGGGGCATAGTTCCCTGGGAGATGGTGTTAGCATCCCTGGGTGTTGCTTTTGGGCTGAGGGCCAAAGAGCTCTTTGAAATGCAGCATTGTTAGGGGCTTTCAATTGACTGGATTTTGGCCTGAGATCACCACACTGGCTGCGGGCGCCGGGTCCACCAGTATGGTGGGAGAGTATGCTTTGGATGACGAGTGGAAACTGCTTGTGGCTCTTCCAAAGCAATCTCATTTCCAGCTGGCCCCTTATGTCTTCCCAAAGTAAATCTCCATGTATCCAGCTGAACTCAAACCTGGGATCTTTGCCTGGGAAATTCAAGTTACAGTGTCAAAAGAAAGAGAAAAAAACATCATCAGCACTGTGCATTATAAAAGCCATTTAAAGTACCACATGCCGAAGTGACCAAACAGTTTTTTCAAGCTAGCTTCACTGTGGATGCTGAATTACACCTGGGCTGCTGTCCATTTCTGGCTCCCAAGAAGCAGGAAAGAGT